GGTGAGGGGAGGGGGGGGGACGACCAACAGCTCCTGCTCAGTGAGATCAAAAGAAATAAATTAGTTTGATTGAAAACAGAAAAAATAATCTATCCACATCATATTTTGCCAGGTCTTTTAACTACCAGCTGCCAGGCAGCAGGGGAAGCTGGCTGAAGCTGCCATAAAAACCCGTTTCAGGATGGCCTTGTGCTGCTCGAGCCCAAATTTGGTCCGGCTGGTGCTTCCGTGGGAATCAGCCTGTGTGGGGTAAAGGGCTCCCAGGATGCCGGCTGATCAGCAAATTGCTCTTGAATTAAAGATATGCCTTTTTTTCCCGTTGCTGGAGGAGCTTAATGCCCCGTTTTTCTGGCTGCAAGGACGCTGTCATGACCCCCATTGATCTGTCACTGGGATTTTTGTCCAGTTTGCTGGATTTTGGGAGGATTTGAACCTTAGCTGCTGGTTTTGACAGCAAATCTTGGCGTTGGGTCACTGCTGACAAGCCACGACAGGCTGGGACGCAGCACCTGAATTGGCAGCAACCTTTGATGTGGTGTAAACACTGGGAGCTGAAAACGGAGCGTGGGGTGGAGAGAGGACCACAGGCACCCCAAGAAATCAAAGTCGGGATGCTGAGATCAGTATTGTCCCAGGGGATAAGGAGGTGACCCACCTTCCTCGTGCTGTGCTGGTGTTTGTTCACCCTGGAACCTAATGATGGCAGTTCACCCTGGAACCTAATGACAGACTTGCAAGGGCAGTCATTCAAGGCAATAGGCAGCTAGAGAGGAGGGATTGGCAGCCCTGAATCAGCTCAGAGCCCTTTTTTCAGCTTTTGAAGCACAAATCGTGGATGTTTTCCCATCTAAAACGAGCCGCAGATGCTCCCATGCCCCTCACCCTGTTACACGGTGCAATCCCCCTAAAACCTGGGAGAGAAGGGAAAACCAGCCCCAGAGCAGCTGGTGGGAGGCACCGTGAGCAGAGCAGGGGGACACCCCCCCCTAAATAATGTGAGATTTATAAATAAACAAGCTTTTGGGGTGGGTTTAAACCTACCCTGTCGATATGAACGCCGAGGAGTTAAATAAAGAGCCCCTACCTCTGTCGATGAGGGTGAGAACAGAAATAACAAGAGTTGGAGGCTGGCCTGGATGGAAACCTTCCTCATTTGCACTAATCCACTAATTGTCACCTCCCCAAAACCATCCTCACGCCGGGAGCAAACCACACACCCCGAGCTGCAGCAGCAGAGCCGAAAATCACACAAACTCATGCATTTTTTATTATTTTGGCTGCAAAAACCTACGAGGCTGCCGAGGCCGTGGCAGCGAGAGGAGCGGGGCCTGGCACTGCCTGCCTGCGAAGCAGCTATTTTAAGGCTGCAGTTGCTTCGCTCAAACCGTAGAAAAACTGGGAAGCTGCTGGGAAATGGCTTCCTGCTCCCTGCAACACCCTGCTCAGGTTTTCTTCCCCAAATAGCCTAAAACTGGGGGCACATGCTGTTATTTTGCCCCTTTCTCCTGCCCAGTTTTCAATCCCAAGGCAGCTGGACCATCTTGTGGGTCCCCAAGCCTGGGGGTCTCCCTGCTGCATCCACAGCCCCAGGTGGTAAAATACAACCCATGAAAATTAAGGTTTGAGCCAAAGGAGCCGAATCCTGAACAGCCTCAGACTCCACTGCAGGGCTGAAATCTCACAGGCACCCCTCAGCGCTCCCCCAAAAATGCCCCCCAGGCTGCACCGTGGGGAAATATTTAATTTTCCCCAGAGAGAAGCTGTCCCAGCACCTTGGCTGGATTTAAAAGCAACAGGTTAAAAGCTAAAAGCTCAGCCCAAGAGAAGCAGGAAGGAGGTCTGGCTGGCTTGGAAATAATAGGGGAAAATGAGGTTTCTGGAGCAAAAGATGCCAGCAAACGTGCAGGATCTGCGACCCCTGGAGCATCCCCTCATGCAGCGCTTAGGTCTGGGGGAAAAAAAAAATCCTCTTTTCTCATGCCAGGGTCAGGAGCTGATGCTCGACCCTCCCAAAAATCATCCCCCTGGATCCTGCCCTAATTTCTCCCCCACCCAAGTGTGCTTTGGCACTGGGGCTCTGTCCACTTGCATGGGTGGGGGTGTGCGTGGGGTGTCTATTTTACCCGCACCTTTATTTCTCTGCCCAAGCACGATCGCGGCCGTTGACGTGCACGGCGTGGTGTGTGTGTGGGGGGGTCCTCCGGCGGCTCCCCGCGTGCTCGGGGCCGAGGCGACGCGGCGTCGCGGGGAGGTGGAGCAGCCCACGGAGGGATGCGGAGCCGCTTGACCGAGGAGCCGCCGCGTTTCGGCTGCCGCCTGCGCCTGCTGCGGGAACGGCTGCTG